GTAAAACAACAAGCAGGTAATTTTCTCACTCATGCACTTGCAAAAAATGTGCACAAGCATGCAGCTCTCATCACGCTGATGGTGATGAACGGTTGCTTTTTTCTGGCCAGAGCGTTGATTAAATTCTCAAGAGCATTGCAGTGAAATAACAGGAAAGCATATTAAGTAGTAATGTGTGTGCGTGCGTGTGTGTGTGTGTGGGCATGCTTGCAAATGCAAGACAGACAAAGAGACAAACTGTGTAGGAGATGTAAAGATAGAGGTTCAACGAGGGAAAGTCCACACAGAGAAAAAGATGTCAGATAGCTCTAATTACCAAGTGTGACAGTTAATGCTGATAAAACCAAAAAATCAGTCTGGCTCCACCCCCATTGCCAGTAAAATTGAATTTCTCACCAACACAAATCAATTTCAGTGAAATTAATGTAAGAAATAAAGTAAATATTCCACATATCAAGTATTAACGCAGATCATAAAAAAAAATCAAGATTTGTATTATTTGTTCTGCAGATAGATAGTAAATGGTTGGATAAGCACAACAGAATGGATGGATGGTGACAGATGGCCTGTAGAATTTTTTCAGAGTTTCTCAGGCCTTAAAATGTTGTTGGTTGAAGTTCAATCAGAAAAATCTAACAAAAAGACAGCATTTATTATAAAACAGCTTTCGTATTTGCAGATAGATAGATGGATGGATAGATGGATATTAGGTCTCACAGTGAACGCTTTTATGACTTTTTGGCATTGATGTCACATGACTGTCAATGGTTCGGATCGTTTTGCAATGGTTTATGTGGTTCTTATGGTCCAGTATGGTCCAGTGTGGTTGCAGGCATTCCCCATGTGATGGCCACTGATGACAATTTGCATATTGACGACTGCCAAATCGAGGCCACGGCCCGTTGTTAGTGGTGCTAGGTTCAGATCATGCTGTAACCTATAATTTCCTTCGGGATTAATAAAGTATTCTGATTCTGATTCTGATTTAAAATCTGTAAGACAGGGTGGAGGCTCAGTCATGGTTTGCGGCTGTATATCAACCAGAGGTGTTAAGCTCATTTTCATGCAGAAAAAATGAAGCCGCTGCATGTCAGGTGCTATCCAGAATGTACTGCACGTGCATCTTGACAGACAACAGAGCAAAAGTGAGCCAACATCCAATGTTCTTCAGGAAGACTAGAGAACTAGTCCAGAAGAAATGACAAGAAAGCTCAGAGAGTTCACACTGTGTTGAAGAATAAAGGTGGCCACACAAAATAGTGACTTTCAAGCTTGTTGTACACTTTGCACAAACCCTATTTTGCCTTACATGAACAGGAATAAATCATGGCTTCTGTTTCTGTTTATTCAATTAAAGATAAAGGAAATAGGACTGAAATTAGTACGATTACTGTCAGCTGATTAAAAAGCTCCTGGGTTTCCTAAAAAGGCCTGACATTCATGCTAATATATAGCTGTGATAACTAAACTAAAGGGCAAGTGTGCCCACCTGACTAATGTAATATTTTTGTTTTTTTGTTTGCTTGTTTTTAAGGAGAGTGAATTTTAAATTTACAAATCAAATTTTAAAGAGACAAAATCACCTGTTAATTTTCACAATCTTTGATCGGATCGGCTGTAGCCATTTCCTTTAGGTCCATGGGTTGGTGGAAGTTTTATTCTGATAGACTTTTAATGTTTTAAGACAAGTTTTGAAAGAAGATTTTAAAAGGATCTCACATATGCACATCAGATAATGACTGCAGTGAGGTAATAAAGCCATAGCCTGGACTCTGCATGTCCTAGAGAACACGTCACTTGATACGTTTTGCTTTTGTAGGCTATTTATTTAGTGTTTTCTTGTTACTTCAGATGAGGTTCCTCCACCGCTGCCCCCTCGTCGACTGAGGAAACCTCGGCCTACTTCTCTTCCACTTTACAACAATTCCTCCTTCGAGCCTCCGTCTGCTCCGACCTCCCTCCCTCCTCCTGTTCCTCCCAGACGTGAGTTTGATTTGCCTGTCTTTCCTTATGTTTTGTAGTTGAAATTTAATCTTTCTCTCTCTTATTTCCTTTTCGCGTTTCATCAGTTGACAAGCTGGAAGGATTAACCAGGTTGAAGGCCAACGTCAACGTTGTCTCACTCAATGTTGGAAAACTGGTTGATATCAGTCAAGGTCAGGGGGCACACACATGCAAACACACTTCCTTCCAAGTTTTTTTGGGCTTTTATTAATCTCTTTTCTTTCTTTGCTTATCAGACTCAGGCATGGAGACTTTTCAAAGGCCAGTGATTTGTGGGAAATGTAGTGCTGCTTTGTCATGTCTCAGTTCATTACAGAAGAACGTGAGTGGTAATTTAATTCCCGAATTTTTTATTTCTTTGGACTCAACCAATTGATTAACTGGTTTCCACTGGACAAAGGTAGTTGAAACAAACAAAAGCAAATCCTGTTCTTCTTGTGCAGGTTTGGCGATGTGAGTTCTGTGGATATGAAAACAGTGTAGATGAAAGTTTAGCTGCTTTGTGCATTGGCCAGCGAGCCGGTGTGCGCAGTGATGACCTTTACCTGCCCAGACAGAGTGAAGACGACTATCAGAACTTGGAGGACACGCTAGTTGTTTTCTGCGTGGACACTTCTGGCAGCATGAGCGTTACTACAGAGGTGTGTGGATTGCATTATTCAAACACACTGCGGGTAAAATTCCTGCAGTCATTGTTTATCAAAAGCTGGAGGCTACCCTTGTGGTTGATCTCGTCTGTGCAGTCTTGTCTCTGCCAAGTCTTGTGTTTTGCTCAGATGCAACTTTATTTACTTTTTATTTATTTATTTTTTTTAGACAGAGAGAGAGAGAGAAAAGGGTTTCTTCTGGCAATCCTTCCAAACAAGCCATACTTGTTCAGTCTTTTTCTAATGGCACTGTCAAGATTTTTTACATTTAACATGCTAACTCAGTCTGAAATGCACCTCTCGAGTTTCTTGCAGTTTATGTAAGCACTGTACAATCTGTTCTTCGGGTGAACTTACTGGGACATCCACTCTTAAAAAGATTATGGCATTGTGGTAACATATAGCTAAATGCCAAAATGTCTGCTGTCATCGAGGTGCCTACACTCACTTGTTATCAGTTAAACAAGTGTAATTAATTAGCAGCACCTGGCTGCTACTTACCTTCTGAATACCTGTAGTAGCAGTAAAGAGACATTCAGTTTTCCACAGTTGAAACCTCTTTTCCACATGATTGTAGGTTAATTAAATCACAATAAAACTCCATTTGAAATGTTCAGTCTTATCATGTTTGCTCTGCTTTAGGTTCCATCAAGCAATGGCTCTGTAACATACGTATCCAGACTAGAGGTGAGAGGATAATTTGTTGTGGTTTGATTGGCTGAGCTGCATTAACATAATCATTTTGTTTTAAAGTTTGTGCTGTTCACAGGGTATGCAGGACGCCCTCTACAGGGCACTATTCACCATAAAGCAACGGTCCCCTCATCGGAGGGTGGCTCTGGTGACATTTAACGATGAGGTAGGAGATGTAGCAGTAGTAGTAGTATTAATTATAACACTGATTCTTGTATGCTGCTTTTTTGAATCTTTCTTTTTTTGTGAACATTTAAATACAAATATAAGTGTTATCCCATCCAATTAGCATGTAGTAAAAGATTGTAAAAGGTGTTTAGTATTCATTATGTCTTTGGACCCCAGAAATCACAATGAGAACAAATCATTATGGTTGATTCAGACTGAACCTGGGGTCCTTATCAGGAGTGGGGATGCTAAAGCTTTAGGTATTTTGCTGTCTATATTGCTACCTTAAAACAACAACAACAAAAACTTTTTTTTTTTTTACCTTTTACTCTACTGTTACATATTTGTTTTTACTTCCATGCGATCTTTCTCATTTTTTGAGTAGAATAGAATAGAAAAGCCCATTATTGTCTTTCCTATGGTTTTGTCTTTTTTTGGCCAATTTTAATCTATATGAATATATAATCGTGTCACTCAAGATACAATGAATATTTAGTTTCATTGCTCTATGTTGCTATAACTAAGTACATTGCTCCAGTTTTACCTCAATGTTGTAAAATAGAAAAATCAGTAGAGCAGATCATAAGACGTCCTTGTTCATAGAACCAGACTTATAAAGTCCATTGAATCCCTTATTTATCACTACATGAGAGAATTTTAAATGTTTTCCTGTTTTTGTCCCCTTTGGACATTGCATAATTGACAGTTATGTAGCCTGCCCCACAAAAACAAGAGGACTTCCTGTTTACCATGATGAACTGTCATGCTCTGTAGAAGATGGCTCTTCAGCAGACAGGAGGGAGAAGCAATCTGCCCTCATCTGCCAGAGAATTTGTTTTTTTGTCAAAATTTGAATTAAATGTTGAAGACATTAAATAAAGAAGACCTTATAAATCTCCCGCCCCACCCTGCAGTACTCTAACTATATTCTGCTGGTTTCACAGGTTGTAATATATGGTGATGGTACTAGTGCTCCTATCACACTCAGGGATTGGGCGCTAGTTGACTACGACCATATATGGGAAAAGGGTGTGACTTACCACATCCCACACTGTATCGCTGAGACCTACAACCACCTAATACAGAGGGTCAAAGAGTAAGTGTTAGAAGTGTTTTAGAAACATGGAAGAATGCTCTGTACAGTCTGAAACACTCTTTGTTTTCTCCACATCTCTGACTCTAGACTCAGGGAACATGGAGCCACGTGTCTCGGTCCCGCAGCATTAGCCTCCGTTGCTATGGCTTCAAGGTACCCCGGGTCAAAAGTGAGTAAATGTGAAAGTCTCTAAATGAGTGGTCAGATATTTTACTACGGTGTGATTGGGACGACTGAGTG